TTTTTTTTTAAACAAGTGGGGAAAAAAAGGGGAGGGGGGGGGGTGACGGGGGACAACTAAACCACTTTTGAATCGGCGTTTCCAGAACAAAGAGACCATATTATTAGTCCACACGATCTTTCACCTACATTTACACAGATGTTCTAGTTATATAGAATATTTCTGTGTCTAACGTCCTTTAAGAACAATTACTTTCTTTAACCACTTAAGTCATCAGGCAAAGAGGACGACACATCCGACTTTTTAACCTCCACGTCAGATGAACTAGAAACGCCGCTGATTCTATTGATATTGATTCTGCGGAAACAAAGGCGTACAGAAGCAGATTCTAAACTTATCTCTAAGGAAAAAAAACAGAAATAAAGAGAACGTTCCTTGTCAATAGACACGTCTGTCTGTGTCCCTGGAGACATAGCTACAGGAATTAAGCCATTACTGAGGTCGGTCTATCCAGAATAAAGAGATCTTCTAGAAAGTACCAACCATCTTCTGCTTACTTTTTGAAAAATTCGGTTTACAAAGACACAATGTCAATTAGTAAATGGAACACGTTTTGTTGTTGAAAATGGGTTTCGATTTTTGCAATTCTTTTCAAAACTGGAAGTAATTTTTATGAATATCCTTTGGGCCTGACAAAATGTTTATCTTGAAGCAAAGAAGCCTTATGCTGCAACCGGTGCAATTATTCCGGTCAAAGTTTGTGAATCGGTGCGTGCGTGCATACCGACGTACAAACAGAAAGTTACTTAATTAGATAATCGAATGATCATCCTCATTGCACTTCGGAAAAGTCCATAAGTGCTCGGGTTCCTTCTTCAGTATATCCCTCGGCATGTGCCGACGGATAACACCAGTTCTGTGTTGGTATACTATTTTTCTTTGGCTACCTGTCCAGTGTTCACATTTGGCGACATCTCTTTTGATCTGAAGTTCTGGTAGACTTTTAAGAGTTGACGATTCAACGTCGTCTCTTAAATCATCTTCGCGTCCTGCCTCTTTGAGAGCATTGAGAATGTCGGCCCGGTCCATTGCTTTTCCGTGCAAACAGAAAGATATAGGCTAACATTATCACAGTGCCAAGACAACGCGTATTGTATGGATCACCAGATCTGTAAAACGAATGCACTCGCAACACTCAGATTCTGGAACAGGACTGCAGTCCAGAGATGGACATACATCTAGTAAATTTCCACTAGACTTTATAGCTGATGAACACGAAGAAGAAGAAAAATCTACACAAACGTGCTCTTTTCGTAATATTCTACCCCAGTTGACGTCACATGACAGCCTTTTTGAGGGTGGTAAGACCGGGTTTCCCGGCTGTCTGGTCCTTTTAACGATCCTAAAACATGTACAATTGGCCCTAGCCCCAACCCACCTACGTCCCACGAGAGAGTGCAGCGTAGGTCCCACGACTGCATGCAGCCTAGGTTCCACGACTGCATGCAGCCTATCTACCACCCCCTGAAATATCACTGTCCCGTGAGCTGTGGATTTTCCTTGTTTAAAGTAGGATATCAAGAAAGCATCCACAAAGTTTTTTTTTTTTTAGACAGGCATACAACAAGATGAATAAGTGTATGCTGTCTGCACAATGAAGGGCGGATGCAATGACTGCTGTTTATGATAATATTACGTGATGAGGTCCAATCTCTTTCACGTCATTTGTACCAGTTTACAAATGCCACGTGTACGAATTTTTTTTTTTTAAATTAAACCGTTTGACGTGAAAATCCAGCACTAGTGCAACGAGTATAATGAAACTGTTACATGCTTTGACTGACTTCTCTCTGTCACAGATCATCAAGGGCCACTAGGTCTTTCAATTATTTAATTATCGCCATTCGAGTTGGCTTCAAACGAAAATCTTAAAAGTGTTATAGAAGTTGGAATAGCCATGGTATCGTCTTGAAACCTATTAGTATTGTTGTTGAGGATGTCAAGAGTATTAAGGACGTGTCATCCCGTTGCAGACGAACACGATGATTTCATAATGACAGTATAAAGATGGAGCCTCACCTTTGACATGCACCAAAGAGGAGCAGCATTCTGTCATATGTCTTGTAAGGTTTTCATTTCAAGTCTCTCATATTCCACATAGGACATCTTAATGATACTTTACCGACTTAGCTATATATGTGAGAGAGCTGTTAGACTGGCAGCAATGCAATAATTGAAGATGGCCGGCCCATGGATCATGCAGACATTGTAATTGCCCTAAGAGATATAGGACGTTCTGAGGATTTTGGAAGCAACGTGTCCACATCACTTCTAAGAATACGCGAATTGGGAGTAAAAATCGACACAGCCAAGCATGAGAAGCACAAAGGACACACACGAAGTCTTGTTAACCAACATGGGATTGGTATTATTAACCGCACGACGCTGATGAATGTGTTGAGAGGGGAATTTGAGCGCCTATGGATGTGTCCGGAGTGCTGTGACGATAATCTAACTCATAACTCATTACCTATGTATGTCAGTTACAACAGCTACTTACCTGAAATAGCGAAACCGCTGAAGCCAACAGCCAGGGTGAGACATGCCACAGCAGGTGCCGTATCCCTGGTGAAGCTGACTCCGAGTAAAAATATGGCCTCCATGCCAAACCCTAATCAAAGCAAAAGATTGTAAAAAGACATATAAGTTCAGTGTGGCACATAGAAAACTAATGGTTGTTTTTCTTTCTTTTACTTCTTCATCGTTTGCGCGAGATAAGTAAGTGTATTGTGCCTGTTTACATACAAATAGCTGTCTTAATTTGCTGACATATCCGACTTTTTCAGGCATTTATTTTCAGAGGTAACCTTCCTGGTTAATTTCGTAGGCCATATCTCAGTCTTAACTGTGCTGTGACTTCTTCATTCTCTGATCCACAGAGGTTGCCCTGCAAAACACCGATCCAGGGCAGGAGCGTGCAAAGAGATCGGCCCTCAAAGTAAGACAGGGTTAGTACATGGGTATTTCCCAGCTTCCACGGAAGCCGTTACAAGGTGTTTTTTGTTTCTTTCGGGAGAAGTGCTGTGAATATAGGTAACCGTGTTGTGTTTAATGCAGTTCATAAAAAAATAAAAAAAAAATTAAAAATTCTTCTAGTGAAGTGCCTTGCAAAAGATATTTGAATTACATGTATCGTACAAATAAGTTTAATGTGTTTTTCTATTTCATGTGGGGGGGGGGGGGGAGGGGCACATTAGCTTAGTCGCTGCAGCCCTCGGTCGGTATTCGAAACCGGGCGGTTCCCGAGGTTCATCCAGCCTCTAGTTAATGGGTACCAGAGTTAACACTTTGGGATTATTGGAGGAACGTCGCTGTAGCTACAAAGTTGCATGCGGACAGCGACACAGGCGGACAGTTTCTTATCAGCTGTCCGTACTGGTGGCAGAGCACTTATGGTTCATAACCGAGTGCAATGACGCTGGTTCACATCTCCCGACTTTACCTTTCTATTTCAAGGGACGTGTCATTGAAAAGGGATAAATAAGTTATTTACAAATGACTTTTGACTGTCCCAAAACGTGGTTTGTGTTGTGATCTAAAGACTCCAAAAATTGGCGAGTTGCTTTTTGCCGGATAACTGGCTGTACCTTATGCGAATAATTGCGTGTGCAACTACTGATCTTCTGTAACTGCTGCATCTATCGTTGATTAACTGCATTTATATTGCTGGCCTGTTTGTGTGAGCACTTTTGGCGATTGCCTTCTGCATTTGGAGCGTGAGAATGCTTTTTGCTTTGCTAACACCGTCGTCTGTATTTGTTTTGTCACAAATGACAGGGATGGATATTGTATGAGTTTTTGTTTTTTGTTGTTGGCCCAGGAACGAACCATCTATGGGGTGACGTGGCCCGGCTCTCTAGCTTAGTTGGCTAAACCGGACTGCGCGGTGAGCGGGTGACGAACTCCTTGTGGTCCGGGTTCACTCCCGGGGTTTAGGCAGAAAAGCCACATTTCTCCCAGATTTACGGTATTTACAATGGAATCAAGGCCGACATGTTGCGATATCCATAATACCGAGCCAAAGGGTTAACAACTCATGGCTTCTGGATACTAAAACAAACAAACAAACAAACAAACATGGGGTGACGTGATTGCTATTGATTTCGAACTGCGATTACTTTGCCTTATCCTACCTTACCTTTGTTATCGTTCTGTTTCGAAAGAAATGCCATGTAAATGGTACTAGAGTTGTGTGTCTAACAAGTAACGTTATTATTTGTTTCTGTCTCAAGAGACGTATCGTTAGAAAACAACTGGGTTGTAAATCGTAGAAGAAACCATATTTATTCTTGACAAAAGTGTCATAAAAATGACACCGGATCTATTTATCCAAAAGCAACTTTAGTCTTTGATTTTTATTCTGAGAAAAATTCCATAAAAACGGCACATGAATTATGTTTCTAAAAAGTAGCACCATTATTTTATGTTTTAAAAAAGCGCTAATTAACCAATTTTGTTTGTTTGTTTGAGTTATGTGTGTTTCAAATGTCTTTATTTTTCATTTCTCGTTTGAGAGAAGTATCATAACGAAGGTAAGTGAGTTATGTACCATAGACACAATTTTATTCTATGTTTCTCTCTCAAGGAGAACGACCACAAAGAACTACACACACACACACACACACACACACACACACACACACACACACACACACACACACACACAGAGAGAGAGAGAGAGAGAGAAACAGAGACACAGACACACACACACGAGCAGACACATAAGATTCGTACCATTTACGTTAGTTTATGTTTTGATGGCGGGAGCCCGAAGACAACTTATCACAGAAATCAGAAGGAGACAGTCATCATTTTACGGCCATGTTATGAGAAGAGGGAAAATAGAACATCTTGTGACCACTGGAAAGATATGTGGAAGGAGAGATAGAGGAAGACAACGAGAGATGATGCTTGACAATCTTGTTGCATGGCATGGAGGTGTGTCGGCACACGAACTGATACATGCTACAGCAGATCGCAGATTATGGAGAGGCATGATCGCCCAAGCCAGTCGGCAAGGCACCTGATGATGATGTTTTTATGCACGGAATTTGTATATTTTTTCCCAAGGAAGAGCAAAGCAAATGGTATCTGAGATGTGTTTCACAGAAGGGAACTTTGTTTTTTATGTCTAATTTGAGGAAAGTACAAGGAAAGAGAAACCTGAGTTATCTTAGTAATCTTAGTTTCAGTTTCATAGAAAGCGAGTCACCCCATAGTTAATCCGCTCCTGTGCCAATAAAAATCTCACATAAAGTTTATTAGTCCCTAGTGAACAAATTGACATGTATTGCAGTCTCAGCATATCCACTTGCATACACACGCAATAAAAACATAAGGCAGCCATCAGAAGTGCTAACACAAACAGACTGACATTAGAGATGCAGTTCATCATCGACTAAACCAGCAGTTACAAACAGATCAGCAGCTGCGCACGAGAATAATGTTAAATCACTAGCAATACTGAAGTTACAGACCAAGCGCCATTTTCTGAATTTACAGTTCACAACACCAAGTTGGTCAAAATCAAAAAATATTCCTTATGAAATCTGAAGCTCATAGTGTTGCGCCATGCACGCAAGCTCAATTGCTCGGCGACAAAAATATATTCTTTCAGTCTAAAAATGGAGGAAAATGCAACGGTCACCGTCTGTCAGAAGCAAAAAAAATTTGCCACGGCTAAAAACAGTGACCGTGTCTATCGTCCATTTAGACCGGAAGTTATATGACCTGCGTAATATGTCACACGAGTAGCATTTCTCTGTCGTCTACTTTCGCACACAAGAATTACCGCACTAATTAACACCAAAAGAAGAAAAATGCCATCAAACATGATCTGAGCATCGAGAAAAACTGGCTTATAACGAGCATTTTGTCCACGAAAACTGGAGTTTTTTGGCCATGTTTAACGTCATGGTGGCTTAGGAAAAATGGCGATGGAGTGTACCGTTTTCGGAAGAAGAGGCAGGCGTAGACAACCACGAAGGCGGATACAAGACGTTGAAGATGTACTGGCTGTGAAAGCGTATGGGGCTGGAGAACTGTCAAGAGAAAGAGAGACTTTCAGGCGTTTTACCGACAAGAGCGACGTTCGCTACAGAGCCTGCTGCTTGATGAACCTAAAATATATATTTCCGAGACAGATGCACTTTTCCAGTCAATCTGAGTTCAATTTATCTGTCCTTTTTTTTGTCAAGCTTAACAACAATTATATATTTTCACCACTAAATGGACTCCTCAGTTGGCAAGCAGGATGTTGCATATCGACTACATAATTCCCGTGCTACTGGCATTTTACCTCCTTTTTTCCTCAAAGATTTGGTTCATTCTGCTTCCCGGTCTTGATTTTTAACTTTAAGCCAGCTCTATGCCTGGATTATACAAATTTAAAATGCCAATAAATATCACAGACGGACAACTGAAAGCCAAATGGTGTAATAAAATATGGCCTCATCTGGCAAAACATCCCTCTTTTTCTTATGTGAACATGCAAATGAGCTCTCTCCTTATTCTCATGGGGGTAAGAATCTCGCGGTTTTTCGCGTGTTTCCCGAGGTCAATGCTAAAGAACTAGGCGCTATACCCATTTTCGGCTTTCAGAATTTCAAGATGATTGTCGTAAACATTAGCCAACGCATAGCAACACTTTGCCGTTAAAGTCGTAAAATTCAGCACTTTCAATTCACGTTTTAACCCATCCCTGAAATGAACTACTGCCGAATTTAGTTCTTTAGCTTGTTGCTAAGATGTTTCATTAAAACGAACGTTCAATTTTTTTTTTCTCCGCAATTATTATTAACTATCTCTGTGTGTTTCTTTAAAATTTTCACCCCGGAATGATTTAGTGTGTGATAGGGATTATTTATATTATTCTTCCTCGTCTTTGTTCTTCTTCAATATTTCGAGACCGTGAGGTTCATTGCTGCTGATATCACATGCATCCATTTATCTCTCCGGTTGGCCCTTATTTTCCAGTTGGTGACACCAAATGTTTGGAGGTCTGTCTTGATATCATCTCTCCTTCATCTTCTTTGACCGCTTTGTAGTGTACAGCCACTATCCTACACATATAGGGAATATTTTACACCTCTAAAAAATACACAAAAAGTGAGTAAACTGCTTCATCCCCGATGAAGTGTTTGAGCCGCTCATCTCTTTTTCTGAAGGTTGTGTATTCTGTTCCTGGCGCTGTTTTTCGGTCAGTAAGTAAAGATGTTTTGAAGATCACTGGAGCTACAAGGCTTCGTTCTCTGTGCGACTCTCTGTGTGATCGCACACTTACTGTCAGAGAGACGCTATGCTATGTGGGATAATACTTTGAGAAACAAAAGTAATTTCTTTACCCGTCAAACACAACTTTTCTTGGGGGGTAGGAATTTGTAAAAAAAAATTATATTTTTGCTTTAACATATTCTTTGCCGCTAAGAATGTAGACGAATATGCATATCTTAATATGCAGTTTTAAAATTGTTAAACCTGATGAACAGTACCTGATATATTTTGATTATAAATAGGTATACTTGGGTGACTCAACGTCACCATTTGAAAAAAAATTCTAATACTTATAAATTCAAAACAATGCACCACTCCCTGTGTTATAAATAACGATTA